GTCTGATGTCCGTTGTCCGATGTCCGCCGGTGTTCGAGACGTGACGTGACGAGTAACTGGCGTAATTGGCAACTGCACCAAATTGATGGATTGCCCGGCGCCGACTGTCACCGCTCCAAGAACAAAACTTGGCGGTACTTTTCAGGTTTCCTTTGTAATTTTTGGGTAAATCGATATTTGTGCCATTTTTTTGTTTCGTGTTTTTTTTCTGGGCTTTCGGTTTTGTGCAGCTTTTGACTCTGGCGTTTTGTTCGCTCCTGTAATGATTAATTAATCGAATGTACTTATCAGGCTCTGGTGAGACGGCGACGGATGCCTGTTGCATGGCGGCCAAGAGTTGTGCTAACTGGTCCGTCGCCTCTTTAATTGAATATGAAATTAGCCCGGACAAGCTCATTACGTTTATGAATAGGATTTTAAGCTACCTACCCCAATTAGTTGCTGAATTCATCACATGTTCCTTTTTCGGCTAATTCCAAGACCCCTTTGCGGGGATCTCGTCCAGCATTTTTGTGATTGATACCTGTAATTGCCAACGCCCAATATTTAAAAAGTTTTTATGAAAATTCCTCAATCTACACATGTCGGTGTCTTTGAGTCGACGAAATGAGATTGCATCTAAAGCTATACAGGAGTTATGTTTTCTTGCCTAAAAACAATTTTTGTAGAAGTTTTTTAAAAAAATGTTATTTATAAAAATCTGACAATCTTTATATTTAAACCCTGAAATATTTTTTAAAATATTAATTTTTAGCCCATGATTACATTATTAAAATAATCCAGTTGTTACATTAAACAGGATAGAAAGCTAAACTGAAGTTTATAACTTTCAGTTATAATAAAATATTTCATTATAATTCTATATCTGACCATAAACGATAAGAAATAAAACGGTGGAAGGCTTTTGGTAATGTTTCATCCAAATTGATTTAAAACTGAGAGAATAGCTTGCGCAAAAATGGACGAACTTGCGTAAAAGTGCGACTCCTAATAAACAATAAATATGTATTTTGGTGTTAGAAATTTTTCGTTCGCTGCGTTGCAAACTCTGCAAAAGTATAAAAAATAGAAAATGACGTGGCGTCATAATCGATGACAAGTAACATCGTGCGCGATGAATGGTTACAAATTTTATTTTGTATTAATCGTTATAAAAATCTCAAAACATGCAAAATTAAGGGTATACATGGATTTCCCGGGTCAAAACCATGTGTCAAAAAGTTGTATTTTTATACCCTTGCAGAGGGTATTATAATTTCAGTCAAAAGTTTGCAACGCAGTGAAGGAGACATTTCCGACCCTATAAAGTATATATATTCTTGATCAGCATCACCAGGAGAGTTGATCTAGCCATGTCCGTCTGTCCGTCTGTCCGTCCGTCCGTCCGTTTCTACACAAACTAGTCCCTCAGTTTTAAAGCTATCTGCTTGAAACTTTCCCAAAAGTTGTCTTTCTATTGCAGGTAGTATATAAGTCGGAACGAGCCAGATCGGGCGACTATATCATATAGCTCCCATATAACTGAACGATCGGAAAAGCCATAACTTTGGTGTTTTTAAAGTTAGGAAGTTGGCATTTTCTATGGGTTTTATTTTTGGCCAATCAATCCGACCTACCAAATTTCATAAGGATCGGCCGACTATATCTTATAGCTGCCATATAACTAAACGATTGGAAATGTCATAACTTTGGTGTTTTTTAAGTTAGGAAGTTGGGACTTTTTATGAGTATTAAGAATGCATCATATGAATCATTTTGGAGAATATAATTTATAGAATATTCTGCAAGGGTATATCAACTTCGGCTCCGCCCGAAGTTAGCTTTCCTTTCTTGTTTAGTTTAAGTACATTTTTTTTGGTCGTAACTTAATCAAAAACAACCTTACATTTGGTTATACTTAAAAATTTGTTAGTACTTAAAAAATTTTAAGTCAATCGTTTTTAAAATATATATTGTCATTTTAAATATGTGTAAAACATTTTATAAAATAAAGTATTATATCTTTTTAAGTTAGAGTATTCCATCAGTTGCAATAACTTTATATCCAAGAAAACTTAAGGGGTAGCCTGCCTTAGAAGCTTAAAAAAATTGATTTTCCGAGGACTTTTTTGGAAATGAAAGAAATATTTGATTAAAACGTCATATTATGCCTGGTACAAGCATTTCGCCAAGGCGCCTCGAGTGTGCATGTGTCGTGCGGCGGGAAAGTTGCAGGTCGCAATTTCCATCACAAAAAAAAGCCAACAAATTTTCTATATTCACTAGCTAGTTAAACCAAAAAAAATTGAACAAAAAGTCCGAAATTCTAGAATTTTTCGCAAATTAAAGAAAAAAACTTTTTTTAACAAAATTAAATAAACATTTTTTCTAGGTTTTTGAGGGTCAACTAGAAAAGAATTTAATACCGAATACAATAAATTTTGTCTCGTTTCGATAGGACGTTTAATTTTTTTCCTATCTTTCCCGTTAGGAGAAATTGTACAAATGAAAAAACGAGAAATCGCACCTCAAAGTTTTAGTAACGCTTGCTCACTATTTCTCCCGTAACTTTAAAAATATTTTGAATTTGGTTCTGAAATTTTAGGGACACATTCTTGGATAGCTTGGGTAGACATTTTTTAAGCCTCTAAAGCAGGCTCCCCCTTAAATGAGCTGCCACGCTCTTGGACGAAGATTTGACTTAAACTTAAACTTTGAGAAAAGTTATTCATAATCAAAAATTGCACACAAAATAAGCTATTATTATATTACCCTTTGCAAGATAATATAAGAATGATTAGAACTCCAAAGGGAATAAAGGATTGTATCATTTTTGTAAAGCTAAGTTTATATAATTTATATAGGGTTTTCCATATCGTAATTATTATTCATTTTAAACTAAAGATGATGTTAATTTGGGCAATAGGTTTAACTTCCTTAGCTCTATGATTTGTGAGAACGTTGATTTTGGCTATATAGTTCTTATCAAGATAGTTTAAAAGCTAACGCTGTTTTAGTGGTCAAGAAAAACGGCCTTTGCTAAGAGCCGTTAAGCCCCGATTTTTTATTTTAAGGCTACCTTTTTAAAAAATTTGTGCAGTAATATCTCTTAAAAATGTTTTTGTTTAACACAAATGTATTATATCCTTTCTTTTTAATTTAGCTTTAAGCTCTGAGGCACTGGACTTGTTGTGCGTTAGAATTTTGTACATATATTATAAAAGCGGAACATAATTTTATTGAAACATGTTAAATTACACACAAAGGTTTTTGGTCGTTTTTTCCTACAGTGCATTGCCCTTAATCTATTTTGTATCTGCCTGACCGTTTTATTGACTTTACTTTAATCTTTCGTGTTATTTGAACAACATAAACATTGCCAAGGCACTCGAGGATGACCTTGACTGTTAAAGATGCAAAATTATGCAAAAACAACTCGGTAAAGATTATAAAGGCACCCGGCATTAAACGAAATCCTATGCTTCAAGAGTCATTCATTTTTGAATCGGATAAAGTTAAAGCGAGACAACCGTCTGCACACTGTCTTTATCCGCTTCACAGCTGAAGCGAACCAATCGGAGCAGACTTCTATAGAACAGCCCCCGCTTCTAAAATATTCTTCCTAAAATAACAGTCTACCCTTGTTTGCCTGGGCAAAATGGGATTTCTGCACAACGCAGCTGAACAGGATAATAGAAGTAATGGTTAGGCATCGGTTTTTATTGTTGATTGGCAGGCTTCGGGGGAAAGGCTGATTCGCAGTTTGTGCAAGTTTCTTGGTGAGAGTAATTTAAGTTATAAAAACATGCGATAAAGAAAATACCCACTTGAGCCGTTAATTTTAATTTATTAATATATAATGTTTGTAGAAAGTATTGATGTTCTTTTTAATGTTCAGAAAACAATTGAAGTTAGGGAATCTACATTTAAATATCATGCCACCATATACACAATTCCAAAATAAATTCAATATTATTGACCGGAATTGTAGCCTACGTTAATTTTTAATTAAATTTGAACAAAATAATTTTTTCATTCCAACAAAGTATTTAAAATTCAATTCAATATAAAACTTTCTCTTGGGATATAGAGTAAGTGCATTTAGCACCACCTATTGTTCAAACTTAAACCCAAAAATTACCATTGCATACTTTTCGGCCGTCTTAATCGCTTAGTTGTTCTGCATGACCATTTGCAAGATCAGCATGGAAATAAAATTAACGTAAGCATATAACTGAAAACTAGTCATTGAAGAAATAGATTTGCGATACGTTCTTTTATTTTTTAAGTGGTGACCTGGGTGCTTTGGCTTTTGAAAGTATCTAGCAAGCCTTTCAGCACCGAAATCTACCAAATTCCCGGTGGTCTTTCTAAGGTGTAAAATATATTTTTAGATTATTAGTAGTTTATTAGAGTTTTATATGCCAGGTTGCCCACATGCAACTATAATTGGTCTGAAAACTCAGTTTGCCATATTGAAACTTGATTTCTATAACGACGAATGATGGAATTCTGTAACCAAAAAGAAATGTTTGAAATAATAAGAATATGAATACGAATGTCTTTAGGCCGCTATAGAATTTAAAATTGAATCCAAACAGATGTTAAAATGTTCTTCCCGAGCAATAAATCCTTAAAAGTGAAATTGTTCCCAATTCTAATTCTAAAGGGACCCAGATATAAACGCGGTATAAGTAGTCGTTTCCATTCGAAAATATATCAATAATGTACTTTACTGCGAACCGACTGCCCTAAATTATGGAAGGAGCTCAATCAATACCTCGAATGTAGGTGAAAAACGGTCTGAAAACCTGTCGATTGCCTGATAAACTCGTTGGGGCATCTCAACGCCAATTAGGCGGTCTAGAAAGAGACTGGCCTGGAGGTCCCTGCGATGACCTTGCCAAGATCCAGATGCAGAAGCAGAAGCAGATGCAGGCCACTGTGGCATTGGGTCAACGAGCAGTCAGCCGCCTATAAAAGACGATGGCCAGTCCGAAGTGGACTTGTGTTAAATCAGCTACCGACAGGAGCAAGCCTTAACCTTCTGCACAAAAATCATGTTAAACAAAGTAAGCTTCGATGTGCTCTATACGGATCTCAAGATATGATCTTATATCATCTGACTGTCCACAGGTTGTGTTATTTGTGGCCCTTTTTGGCCTGGCTCGCGCTGGATTACTGCCCGTGAAAAGTTCCGGAAGTGACGACACCTACGATTCCCATCCGCACTACTCCTTTAACTACGATGTGCAGGATCCAGAGACCGGAGATGTGAAGTCGCAATCGGAATCTCGAGATGGGGACGTGGTCCATGGTCAGTACTCCGTTAACGATGCCGATGGCTACAGACGAACTGTGGACTACACCGCCGACGATGTGCGTGGTTTCAATGCGGTGGTGCGCCGTGAGCCACTTTCTAGTGCTGCGGTGGTGCTGAAGCCAAAGGCGGCAGTTGTGGCCCCCAAAGTTCAGTTCCAGCCGCTGAAGAAGTTGCCACCACTGAAGCCCCTCTCTCAGGCATCGGCGGTGGTGCACCGATCCTACGCCCCGGTGATTCACCATGCCCCAGTGACCCACGTGGTGCACCACGCTGCTCCGGCGCACTCCTTCGTTTCACACCATGTGCCACTGCTGAAGACCTCCTTGCACCACGCCCATCACCCCCATGCCATTTCATATGTGTTCTAGAATCTGTTCTTAATTACGATTTTACTGTGTCTGAATAAAATACTTTAAATTTAATGTTTTATTATCTACCCCTTTCCCTTTATTACCTTTAATTATTCTTAAAATGGTATTACTTTTATTAAAAGAAAAATAAAGGTATAATGAATTACATATATTTGATAAATTATATGCAGAAGATGAAATAACGTTACTTAAGAATTGTTTGCTATATTTTCTATTCAAAACTAAGCCTTAAAAACTGTAAAGCTGTATGCAGCGCCAGATGGATTTAACAAAGCTCAATATTCCCTATCTCGAGACTTTAGTATTCGAAACAGGAAATCTCCATAGGTCGAATATTTTTTTTCGGTGGAGTGGTGAATTGGTAATATTGTGTAAATTCAGTTAAAAAAGCTATTTTAATTAGTACTTTAATTGAAGTTATTGATTAAACTTCACGTGTAACGTTGGTTATATGTTCTGTTCTTCTATAACACAACGTTTTTTAGCACCAACACATTATATTAATATTAAAATAAATAGGTATAATTTTCTAAAGGGTTAATAAAAAATACTTCGATAATATTTTTTTAGTTAAAAAACAAAAAACTCTCTAACGAACTATGTACATGTTAGTCTTGTCTTTTATATTGATTAAACACAACAAGTACGAAATTTCCATAACGAATTATCGAAGTAATCCCAAACAAACATGTAAGAACGTGTCGAACTCATTCCATAACTAAATTCTCAGCAAGAATGCCGCCGAAACATCCGCAATGACTGCTCTTTGTTGGGTGGGCATTCGGAAGTATAGCACTAGACATAAGCCCGAAATCCAATTAGCGTTCAACTGGAGCGACAGCCACCGAAATAAACGCTTAAGGTCGTTGGTGGGGTGGGGTGTCCAAACTCAAAGTTACTGTTTCTGGGCAGGGGTAATGAATTCGGAAATCGGTATGGGTGAGCAGCTTGCAAGTGCACAGTCGATTTGAAAAACCGTTGTTATGCATTTGCGCATGCGCTGCATACGATATGGTTGCTATTAGTGAGCGAGTATTTTTCGAAAGCGCAAACAAATGCCAGCGATCATCATTACCATCGTGATCGATACTGGGGGTGGGGGGGTTTCTGGGGCAGGGCAGGACTGGATCCATAGTGCACGTTCGGGTATGCGACTTCTGAGGCCAATATTAATTCGGCTGCCCGCTCAAGTGCGATTCAATCAAGAAGGCATTATGCTCGCCGCGGCTTTGTCACCGCTCAGCCTTGGCAGCGTGCCGCCCACCGCCGTGCTACCTTAGCCCCACCCCCCCTACCCCATACCGCTCCAGCAACAACCGCTTCTAGTCTTGAGCGTCTCGCATTTTGATATGGTCGGCGTTGTTTTGTGACGCAAGTGCACACCACTGACATCGAACCCGGGCAGAGTGCCATCGAGGCGGTATAAAAGCCCCAGTTGGACGCTGTTCAAATCAGTTCACCACCAATTTCGGTATCTAGAGCAACCAACCCAACCCAAGCAACCAAAAATGGCATTCAAAGTAAGGATTAAGTTCTCAAGTGCAAACAAAGTGACAAGTGACAATAAGAGGAGGAAAACTACATCAACTAGATAAATTGCTCTGTTGTTTTAATATATTACTTGATCTTTCCCTGTAACAAGTGCAATCTAATATCGGGTTTAAAATTCTAAACATATTCTTTTGAACAATTCCAGTTAACCATTCTTTTCGCCGCCTGCATCGCCGTGGCCAGCGCTGGCATTATTCCCGCCGCAGCTCCTCTGGCCGCCGTGGCCCAGGTGGAGGAGTACGACCCCCATCCCCAGTACACCTACGGCTACGACGTGAAGGACGCCATCTCCGGGGACTCGAAGACGCAGGTGGAGAGCCGCGACGGCGACATTGTCCAGGGCCAGTACTCGCTGAACGACGCCGACGGCTACCGCCGCATTGTGGACTACACCGCCGACCCCATCAACGGATTCAACGCAGTGGTGCGCCGTGAGCCCCTCGTGGCCGCCGTTGCCGCCGCCCCCGCTGCCGTGGTGGCCGCTCCCGCTCCGGTTGTCCGCGCCGCCGTCGCCGCCCCCGTGGTCCGTGCCGCCCCCCTGACCGCCGCCTATGCCGCCGCCCCCGCACCTCTGGCCTACGCCGCCGCTCCCGCTCCCCTCGCCTACGCCGCCGCCCCTGCTCCCCTCGCCTACGCCGCCGCCCCTGCGCCCATCGTCAAGGCCGCTCCCCTGGTCGCCGCTGGGCCCGCCATCGTCAAGACCCAGTTCGCTTCGCCTCTTATCTCGTACGCCTATTGAAAACCCAAGGAATAGGCCACCACGACCGATAATTGCCGTTAGTTGTTATTGAATAAAGGATGTGATCTAATTGAATGGAAATCAAGTTTACTTTCACTTTTGGGGAGGTCAAAGCTTATTAATTGTCCAATTACGCGATCTTAGAGAACTGCAATGCATCATATCAATGTCTGGAATTAGATAAGATAATTTATGGTTTTGCAAAGTTTTATTTCCTAAGTTCAAGATCCAGTTCTAGCGTAAAAAAATGCAGGAATAGGTAACCCAAAATTTCAATTTATTCTTTTTTTATTTTTATTGTCCAACTTCAATTAGTGGGTTGTTTTTTTTCCTTTTTTTTATATCTTATTCTTATTCGATGATTTCCTGTCAGAATTACAGAAATTTAAATCAAGAACATATTTAAAATATTATTAAATATTTAATTACCATCGACAAAGTCTAATTCTATCGTTAAGTAACGCAGAGATATCCAGTTATTTTCTACTATTGAAAAGTCTGGGAAGATTTTATTAATTATTATACACTATTATATTTTCTTGCAATTTAAATTTAGTCAAAATGCAGGTCTAGGACTCAATTCTAAATTTCATTTTATTAAATATCCCAAGTTAAACTCATGTTTTGAACTCTCACTCAATACTGGTCATTAATTGATAGTTATGAATATGTCCGCCAAGTTCAATTACGTATTATAAATACCCTTTGACGGGATAGGTAAGTCAGATGTGTTTTTTTTTAGTTAAGATCGATATATTGCTGATAACTTATTGACAATTATTAAAAATAATTACAACCTTAAGATTATTTTAAACGGATTTCAATTATAATAGTTATTTTTGACTTTTAATTTGTTCACGTCGATGAACATTTCTATCGAAACTCCAAACAGACAGAAATCTAAATAATTGGGAAAAAAATATGTGGATTGTTGCAACCTGCAAACCTACAATGCAGTTTTCATATTCTCCAAACAATCAGCATATCTTTTTTCTCAATTATTTTAATGTCTGCCTGCTTGGAGTTTCGATGGAAATGTCCGTCGACGTGAGAAAACAACAAGCTCTTGTATTTAAATTTCTCAAAAAGTACTCCAGGAAGTTTTTAATGTTAATTCCCTCTTCTGGTTTGTTAAAACCGAAAGTGTTGTTCACTTTCACTCTCCCACGACCGATTTCAAGGCCGCCGCAAAAGAATGCATTAACAGCGACAGCTACTGACAAAATATCACTTACTGGCACAAAAAGGCAGCAATAAAATAATGTCGCATAATTGGACAGCGAAGCCGCGGTCCAACACGTCCAAGAACGCACAAAATGCGCTACGAAACGGCGGAGGCAATGCCAGAAGCGTTTACACCGGGCCAATGTAAGGTCCGTAAAATAGTTCCAGCGAATATAAATTTAAAGAGGGAAGCCCCAAAAGCTGTTTACTCATTCATGGAGCCGGTGCAAACTGGGCCCAAGTGAGGTGGTCGTCCGTCTGGTCTGGTTTTCAATGCGACACGAGCTTTGTTGTAATTCGCCTGGTTAACTTTATGGGCCTCGCCGCGAGTTGCGCATGCGCATTGGCATTAAAGTCTGATGTACTTACATGCTAAACATGGGAATGGAAATGGAAATGGGTAGCGAGGTCCGTTCGCTCCAACGGTAATTAACAATGCCAACTGACTTTGACCTTAACCCTCGCCCTCGTCCGTTGGCCGCCGTCCTCCTTCGAGTACCTTGGCATATTTGCACTTGTCCGCGTTGGAAAGGCGGTCGGTCAGATAAGGGAAACGATTGGGCAGGTAAAATAATGTCGCGTAAATCATTCTCAGGCTGCCCGAAAAAAATTAAGAGACTTGGCGAAAGGTTTCTGGCCACGCCAAAGCTGCAACTTAACTGACGACCTTAACTGGTTTCCAAAAGCGGACCGCATTACATGCATTAAATTCAATAAGCCTTCGACGCAGATGGTTTTATTGAAATGTTCCGATCGATGCGTTTTCTTTCCGATCGGATGTCTACCCCAATTTTCGTTGATTGGTGTAAAATGGGTCGGACGCGAACGCCTGATCAATTTGGGCCCTTAATGACTTATTACTGCCAGAAAATTGATTACAAAATGCATATGGTTGAGAGAGCTTTGGGAAGAGTCAAGGTAATGCATAATAATCACTTCCATTGACGTTTATTGGGTGGGATTAGGGTAACTACGATCTTGCTTGAGTACTACTCACCTTGTAAGTCGAAGGCTAGAATGAACCACTTATGTGTGTATATTTGGTTAGCAAATGATAATTACATAATACCTTAAATTGTGTTCTTGACTTGATAATTTTACTATAACAATTAGTTAAGTGTACCTATTTTGTGCATTTCATTAAAATATATATTAATTGATTTGATTAGGACATAATTATATTGTTATAAATGACAGGTAGTTCGAAAATGCTCCCCAAAATCTGAAGAAAAACGCATTCTGTATTCCTTGAGCTTACAAATATTTAACAATTTATTGATCTACAACGGATGCCACAAATCTGAAAGGGAGTTTCTTAGTGGTGCTGGTGGTAGGCCACTGGAAGAGGGGCAGCAGCAACGGGCAGAGCCACGGGAGCCACGGTCTTCACCACGGTCTTCACATGTTCCAGGGGCACGCGGTTGACGACGGCGTTGAATCCGTTGACCGGGTCGGAGGTGTACTGGACGATGCGCTTGAAGCCATCGGAATCGATCAGGGAGTACTCCCCGCGGACCACATCTCCGTCGCGCTCCTCCACCTGGCTCTTGGAGTCCCCGGAGAGGGCGTCCTGCACATCGTAGGCGAACTTGTACTGGGGGTGGGGGTCGTACTCCTCGGCGGCCTTGGCCAGGACGGGCTGGGCGTGGGCCACGGCGACGGGGGCGTGGGCGTAGGTGGCCACGGCGGGGGCGGCGTGGTAGACCTGCTGGACGGGCAGAACACCGGCACTCACAGCCGAAATGAGGGCGAGAACAGCGAAGAACTGCGGGGAAAAAGGATCAGTATGCAATACTGGAAAGGATCAGAAGGTCCTCCGCTCAGGATCGCTCACCTTGAAGGCCATGGCTCTGGGTTTGGAAGTGGGCTTGTTGGTTATCCGTTAACTGCTGCGAAGACAGAGAAGATGTGGAATGATTTACTGGACCACGAGCATTGCTTTTTATACCCAGTCAAAGAGGGCAAAAAGCAAAATGCGAATAACGAATTGAAATTGATTAATTCGCTGCTGGGCAAATTCATTTTTGTCACTTTTCGTATCATATATTTTTACATTTTTTATTGTATTATTGCTATGCTATTTACCTTATTAATTTATCGACTGAAAAAGGGGCAATTACAACTGCCCACGCCGCCGGCAAGAAATATGTATATACATTTATGCAATATGTGGAGATATGCAAATGTGTTGGGGCTTAGTGTCATAGGAGAGACCCTCGGATTTCGGTACTTGTCTGTCTGTCCCTCCGCGGACTATTCGCGGATCAGTCGCTTTCACTATTCCGCCTTGAGTGGTATATTATGTTACCGACACCATATTTTGGTAGAGCACAGAGCTTAAGTAGATTACAGAGTGAGTGGAACTGACCTACACTGATGACTTGTTGAAAAAATTATTACTTGTTAAAAATATGAGAGTTACTGTTCTTTGCGCAGAGTTCTAAGTCTGATTTTATGTTTTGACTTCGACTAAATTTTAATTTCATTTCCTTTCCTTTCTCAATATCATGTTTAGCCCTATAACAACGACAGTACTACCAGTTTCTCCACCACCAATACAAATCTGCCTTACAACTTATCAGTTCTACCGTGGGCCAAGGTCTTTTTCAGTGATAAGCGAGAATAATCTTCTTAATACATGTGTCATTCTCCCCACTGCGTCACAATCGATATGACTTTGGGATCAATTGGGTATAATGAGGATCATATCCTCTCAAAACTTTTGAAGAAGCTATTTTGGTTAGTTTATTTCAAAATACAGGTAAAACCCAATTTTTTCAGAGATCGCACTCTTTGTAAATTATTTGATATCAGGACCCCAAAATACATATTGCCTAAGAGCTTTATATTATATTGGAATTATTGGAATATTTACGGAAATTCATCCCAAATAGTTTCAAAAATGTAGTTTATATAATGGAAGGACAATAGTTTTAAATTTTGAAGTTTTACACAAAATCCAGTTAAACATTTTTTTTACATCCATGAATCAAGTATTCTTGTCGCGTAATATACCCAAAGACAAATAAAAACAATCTTCAAATTAACATAACAAATCACATTTTATTATCATAGAAACAAAACAACAGATTGGATTAATTGCGGTCGCATCCTCAGTATTTACAAGTTGGCGATGGTGTAGGTGGGGGCGGTGTACCGCAGGGGCGTGGCATAGGCAGCGGTGCGCAGAACAGGGGCGGGGGCAGCCACCGCCAGGGGCGCGGAGCGGACGAAAGGCGTGGCAACTGCCAGGGGAGCGGACTTGATCAGGGGAGCGGCGACGGCGAGGGGGGCGGAGCGGACAATGGGAGCTGGTGCGGCCAGGGCGACGGGTGCGACGGGGGCGGCCTTGACCAGCGGGGCGGCAACCTTTACCACCGGCTCGGCGGCCACGAAGGCGGCCAGAGGTTCACGGCGGACGACGGCGTTGAATCCGTTGACGGAGTCGGCGGTATAGGTCACAGTGCGCTTGAAGCCGTCGGCGTCGATCAGGGAGTACTCTCCGCGGACGATGTCCCCATCGCGCTCCTCCACGTGTCCCTTGTTGTCGCCGGATAGAGTGTCCTGGACGTCGTAGCTGTACGAGTACTGGGGATGCGGGTCCACCTCCTCCAGCTCGACGGTCTTGGCCAGAACGGGCACCGGAGCAGCAGCCACTGCCACCGGAGCAGCGGTCCTCAGCACGGCGCCATGGGCCACGGCGAACAGAGCCAAAGCGATAACAATCTGCAGATATTGAATCACATTTTAAGGATATGTTCTAAAATATTGAATTTAAAACATTATATCACTAATATCAAATAGGATTTTGATTTTATGGAAAGAGTCGAGTTCTTTTTTCGTATGCACTGGTAATCCTCGGGAACGTTTATCCTCCAACTGGTCACACAAACCTTTGCTGCCATTGTTGATTGGATGATTTTGATTTACTGCTGCTGTCTTGGGCTAAAGCCAAACACTGAATGTCTGACCCAGTGTGGGCCATTGGATTTTATACGCTACTTGGTGACATTGATGACACCTAATTGGAATTCATTTTTGGCGCATCACCTCGAACGTCGCTGGTGGCTTGTAAAAATAGTCACGCACCTTCTTCAGTTCTGCCCAATTGAAAGTGTTCGATTGAAATACCCAGCTGCACTTGATTACGCCAAGCCAATTTTAATTACCAATTTCTTAGAAGTATTGGCTAACATATTATTGGTTGATAAAATTATTTTGTAGCGTACGTAAAACTACAATTAAATATACAATATATTACAAAAACTTAAACTTAATTGCTTTTTCTTGAACTAGTTTTGATAATAAATACGTTTCCTTATGATATTACTCTTGATGTTACCTTAAAAACGTTTTTAAATTTTGAAAATATCAAAGAAATATTTTATATTGTATTAAAATTAGTTTTGTCAATCTTGGCAAAGAGAATTGATGTTTAAGTGATGTTTTGTTTGTTTAACATATTCCATTTGCAAAACTATGTAAATCTTGCCAAACTTTTAATTATTTTAAAACGTAACACATACCTATTTAACTATATAAACTAAATGGTATTTATATTAAAGAAATAAATATTGGCTATTATAATTCTTGTAGGAAGTCTTGCAGAAAGAACAAAAAGAAAAGTTAAGTTAATTCCTTTTTAAACGACTTATTTATTAGTTCATTAACTGTTTCGTGAACCAACTGGTTACGGCCAATGCGCTCGCTGTTCGTATCTCTTGGATAAATTGAATTTATTTTGATGACAAAACACAAAGATACAAAGATTGAGCACGGCTTCAATGCTACACTTTTCCCCTCTCCACACACGTTTAGCATAAATGAATTGCACTAATTACGGCAAGAGCGTGGCCAACCGGCAATAGCAACTTCGGCAATCCAACGGCAGCAGCAGCTGAAGAAATAGCTCCATCTGTGTATATAAGCGAAGTGTTGGCCCAGTAGCCCTCACAGTTCACTTCGCCTCCCAGCAACCAACAGCAGCAGCAGCAGCCACCAAACCAAACCAAACCACTCAACATGGCATTCAAGGTTGGCCCCGAGGACTTAGCCCCGCCCCCGATCCCCAGATCTTCCAGATCCTAACCTATATCCCTCTTTCAGTTCGTCGCCCTCTTCGCCCTGATCGCAGCCGCCAGTGCCGGTGTTCTGCCCGTCCAGCAGGTCTACCACGCCGCCCCCGCCGTGGCCACCTACGCCCACGCCCCCGTCGCCGTGGCCCACGCCCAGCCCGTCCTGGCCAAGGCCGCCGAGGAGTACGACCCCCATCCCCAGTACAAGTACGCCTACGATGTCCAGGACTCGCTCTCCGGGGACTCCAAGAGCCAGGTGGAGGAGCGCGACGGAGATGTGGTCCGCGGGGAGTACTCCCTGATCGACGCCGACGGCTACAAGAGGACAGTGCAGTAGACCGCCGACCCCATCAACGGATTCAACGCCGTGGTGAACCGTGAGCCCCTCGTCAAGGCCGTCGCCGTTGCCCCGGTTGTGAAGACCATCGCCGCCCCCGTTGCCCACTACGCCGCCCCCGCTGCCTACACCTCCTACGCCGCCCCTGCCGTCGTGAAGACCGTGGCCCCCGTGGCCCACTATGCTGCCCCCGCCGTGGTCAAGACCGTGGCTCCAGTGGCCCACTACGCCGCCCCCGCTACCTACACCTCCTACGCCGCCCCCGCTGTCGCCTACCACCACTAAGAACTGCCATCCCACATCCCCAAGCCCTTATTGTTATAGTTTTACGAATGACCCCTACAAATAGACAAATATTTTTCATATAAAAATATTTAGTTTTTTATTTATCCTTAAAATCCAATTGAATGGAATCAGTAAAAAGGTGTTTAAATACGTGTTGCTTATTACAAAAGCATGGGAGCAGAAGTAAATTGAAGTAAAAGTTTACTGTTGCATTAAAAGTGTGAAATTATATTTTTATAATCGAGTAAAAGAACAAAAATTTTCGGGTATATATATTTATAAAATAGACTCACTTATGGTCAGTTAGCTTCTACAGTCGGCTTTATTCTTCTTCTCTAATGGTGACGTGTTTGTTATTCCACTACTTCACATGACAACAGGTTTGACTCGTGCCCAAAAGAGATTTAGGCTATTTTATTCTTGTTCTTTATAAAGTGTATATTTCTTATATTATTTTACCGAACTAAGCTTCTATATATTTGAATATAAAAGTTTACTTATAAGCCCGTTAAGCTGTTTGAGAGTTAAATCAGATTAACCTTTTTTGTTTTGTAAAAAATTAGTTAACTGGCCATCAAAATTATTGATTATAGTACCAAACTTTTAACGTAGGTGGAGTTTAAGCAAGTTGCTCGCTTAAGTCTTTCGTTTTTTGCAAAAAACGAATAGAACATTTTTTAATATCTATACAAAAAAATTTCTTTTATTAATGTATCCATAAAAATAAATTAATTATTGCCTGCTTGTGACTGAGAATTAAGTTAAAATGATTTGAAAATTATACTGACCATAGTGTATGTTTTATAATAGAATAGGGGAATATTTGCAGGAATATCTTAGAAATAGAATATAATACCATTATTTTGGGCCATTTTCCAGAGACATCAATGTTTTGTTAGTTCGTTTCGATAAGTATTTTCAATGTAATCCACGGTGGGCAATGGCCAGTGCCGAGGCTGTCGATCATTATCCCCCAGTGCCAGCACTCAACCTCAACCGTTGCCAACCAAAGCCAAGCCTCAGCCGAACAACCCAGCTGGCCAACAAAGAGGAGCGAAAGGCCAAGAGGTCTGGCTAATGTGGTTGCGTTAGACCTTTGTGTGGGAAATGTGGAGCAAATTATTTCTTGCCCGGCAATTGGACACACATATTTCGGGCCCGAGTCAGCGTCAGAGCCTGTATACATTTGCCGGACTTGATACCAGTCGATATGTCCCAAGTAATTTGAGATTCAGTTTGTGTGCGACATTAAAATTGCAAAAAGTGCGATTGTTGCTACCGGATATTTTGGCAAGCCCGAAACCGGTCTCGATTTACCCCTCTCTACTGAAGTGCGAAAATCGAGCATGGGCAAATATTTGCGTCGAATTGCTCACGCTAATCATGACCAATCGGGAAATACTAGGCAAGTGCTTAAAATGTAGATCCTACAGTTCATAAAATTAATGCTAATTGTTCTCTTTGCACGCACTTTTTATTCGCCCAGGGCTTGCGAAATAACATTGATCGGTAAGCTTGCTTAAGATGGATATTGGAGAATGTAATCTCACAAGAACACGGTATGAATACATTCCTAATCAGGTTGGCTTGGGGGCTTTCGTTATGGAATAATGCGAATCATTAATTGCAGTATTCGTGTCTTTTAATAATTTGGCATTGCCTTGGCCTTGACATTCCACTGGTAGAGTTTCGAAGGCTTTTGCCAAAATTTAAAGGAATACAATTTTGAAATGGTTTTTTAATTTGTTGTTAATGTCTATGTATATTCACTTCAATAAATATCCTTACAAGATCATGTTCTTCTGCCATTTTTCTAAGATTTTTAGAAGTATTAGATTTCCTAATAAATAGATTACATAAATTAAAATAACATCCTTTTTGTTAAAAATATTTGTTATCCACTGAATACAAACGAAGTCACTTTGGTACATATCAAGGCACTTTTTTTGTAAATAAAGCATAATAAATAAAACAAGTCCTTGTTCGTATTTTATATAGGTATTTCCTTGTTTTGGGCTTAGAACATTTTAAAAGTAATCCAAGAGCGGTCTTTTTCAACTCAATTGGGTCTGAAATCAATAAACTCCACACATATTCTCTGGATGGTCAAACGAGAGCTTTTTTAAGTAGATATTTGAAATTTTATTTAAAATATGTACATTGAGGCTATAACTAATCAACATTACTAGGTTAATGGGTTAAATGAGTTGTCATAATGGGATGCATGCGGGATAATACTTTCGCTTGTCAGGTGATCTGCGGCTGGAAACTCCTTACTGGTGGTGGTAGTACTCGTGACCTTCATGGGCGGCCTGGGAGTGGGCGGGGGACTCGTAGCTGGCGTAGTGGTGCTGCTGGTGGTCCTGCTCCTGCGGCTGCTCGACCTGGTGGGCGGAGTAGGCGGGGGCGGTGTAGGCGGGGGCGGCATAGGTGGGGGCCACGTAGGCGTGGGCGGGGGCGGGGGCAGCGTAGCTCTTGATCACGGCAGCGGGGGCGGCAGGGGCGTGGTGGTATTGAACGGGAGCAGTAGCCACCACCTTGTGGTGCACATGGGCCAGGGGTTCGCGGTGCACGACGGCATTGAATCCATTGACGGAGTCAGCGGTGTACTTCACCGTCCGGCGGAAGCCATCGGCATCGTCCAGGGAGTACTCACCCTGCACCACATCCCCATCCCTGGACTCCACCTGGCTCTTGGAGTCGCCGGACAGAGCGTCCTGCACGTCGTAGGCGAAGTTGTACTTGGGATGGGGGTCGTCGGGATACACCTCGTGGCCGTGGGGATGGATCTCGTGCTGCTTCTGGTAGATCACTTGCTGCGGCTGGTGGGCCTGGTACAGCTGGGGCTGCTGTTCGTGGTGCTCCACAGGGATAATTCCCGCGGAGACGGCTGCCAGGCAGCAGGAAACCAGAGCGATGAGCTGGGATAAAAAAAATATAAATGAAGCTCTGACCCAATGTTCGAATTACATCAGCCTTGGTTTACCTTGAAAGCCATTTGGAGAGCGCTTGAGGTTAGTGGGCGAATTGCAGAGCGAAAGAAGCGAGACTTTGTCCTCCTTCTGTGGAGTTCGTGGTTTGAATAATAATCGAACAGCCGCTGCATTTGTATTTATAGACGAAAATTTCGTTGGCCTCACATCTCGGGCCCATTGTTTCTCCTTCGGCCTTTCTTTCACTTTTTCCCTTGGTGGCTTACAAAAATCACTTCGATCGTAATTCATTTGCATGCCTCCCTCTGCGCCGATCGGTAGATTTACCCAAAAAGATTTGCACCCACGAGTCACACCCATTTCGCTATTGTTATGAATGGGAGACGGACAGGCGAATAAGCGGACAAAGCAACCAAAGTCGTTACATACAAAAGACTTAAGCGAGCAACTGGCCGCGGATCAGCGGTTTCAAGATCGGGGGATTGGGGATTCGTGGTTTCGGGGCACACTCAAGACATGTAAGTAACCCAATAAATTGCCGCTTGATCGATGAACAGCATTGCACTTGACACCAGCGCACACATTCGGGAAAAAATAGAGAAATACAGCGAGTGGCACTCCTCATCCCTCCCATGGTAAATGACCCAAAAAGACGTCTGATCACCTCACATGGATAAATGGACAAGTAACATTTGAGCTTTCAGGTTGAAGCTTTTTACTCTCAGTTTTACAGCTATAATTGTGGCATTGGTAAGTGCTCAATCATGGTCGAAATGGGCAGGAAAGTGACTCAACCAGCGGCCAAGTGATGTAATAAAATACCGTGCGGGGGCTGGCTTGGAAAGAATTTCGTTTGAAGGTCGATGTCAAAGCAATGAAAGTGCTAAAATGATCTGGCAAATATCCCAAAAAGGTTCTTTACAAATGGCAATGTTTCTTATTATTGGACGAATTCATTTATATTTCTATTTAATAAATCTAGTTAATACTTTAAAAATCAATACCCGCTCAATGCAATTTAAAAGTTAAATTTTGGATATTGGATAATTACCCACTTAATTCAAAATAGTAATAAAAAAAACCTAATAAGCACGGGAAAGGTAGTAAGCTTTGTCAAGTATAAGTTTATATGCTTTAAGAAAAAGAAACAGACAAAAAAATTGGAGACTATTTAAATATAACATAAATTGTTTCGTCAAAAAAAGAGCACAATACTAAGAATATATCCAAGAATCAATGACCGCTTGAGGCCAATTTAATGTGCCACTCATTTTCGATTTCAATTCTGAGCAATTAAATTTAGTTTAATTTCATTTCACTTTCAATCAAACGATTTAATTAACAAATTTGTTACTTGGCATTGTGCGGCAAAAGGTCCGAGCTCATTACCAGACAATAAAGCAATGAGACTACAGATAATAAGAACAATTCGAATCTCGTCTGACGTGCGTCTGGCCGCAAGTCAAACCAGTTCCTGTTCACTTCTATTCCACCAAGTCATCGTAGGAGTGGAAATATGTGCTATAATTGGAAGGGAAAAAGCCGGCAACTTAGATCCGTTAGAAATGAACTGAAAATCGACAAGCACCAACCGGAAGTCAGTTGCTTACGTGATAAGTCACGTACTTTTATAAACAAAATTGTTTTTGTTGATTTCTTAATAATTTTCTAACCATAGTGGATTTTATAACTAATTTAGGTAGTTACTTAAACTAAAATCACACTTTCGGAAACGAAATCGATTTTTAGATATGACGGATAATCAAATCATTTAAACGTTCTTATAAAAAAGGAGGATTGAAAAGTTTTAGAACCGATGTCGATGACCGGAAATTAAATTCGTTACATCAAACAATACTAAAAAAGCATGATTAATTAATTAATTTATTAATTTAAACATAATCTAAGAGAATATAAAAATGGATTGTAATCATGTCCTGTAATTTATTGGTAAATTAGGTGAACTACAAGGAATTGCGCAGGATATTCATCACAGTCTTTTTTTTTAAGTCTGAAGATTACCCGGGGGCTTGGAGCAATGCTCTATTGTATGTTATGTTTCGCTTTCTCTCACTTGAAAATTATTTCACGGTTAACTTTACATAA